GAGGCCCCTCCGGAAGGGGCGACCTCCCGGCCCGGGGCGTGAGTGCTGATCAATAAAAGAAGCCAACCCCAATTTCCCGCCCTCCCTGACCTGCCTCCCCACCCTCCTCCGAGCGCGCTCCCGAGCGTGCCTGAAAGTTCTGCTGAGTCCTGAGCGAGCCTCTCCAGAGTCTTTTAGAATATGCCCCACAGTACAGGATCAGAAGGTCTTGTGTTCTCTCTCCCTCTGCCCCGCCTCCCTGAGAGTACTGAGCATCTCCAGAGTCTTTTAGAATATGCCCCACAGTACAGGATCAGAAGGTCTTGTTGTGTTCTCTCTCCCTCTCCCCCCCACCCTGAGAATACTGAGCATCTCCAGAGTCTTTTAGAATATTCCACAATGTGCTGGATCAGAGTTCTTGTTTGGTTGCCTCTCTCTCTGTCTCTCCTTCTCTGTCTCTCTCACACACACATGCATGCTACACACCCCAGGCATACCACATAACATACAACACACAACTTGACCGACACACACTCCACATGCAATTTGCCCCATAGTACACACATCACGACATTACACACCCACACTTCATTTATACTATACACTACGGTACACATCATTTTTATCAGCAGAGATAAATGTCAGTTTGTTGGAGGGAGTGCGTATGTATTTATGTTCATAAATGTCAGTTTATTACCAAGTGGTAAATGAAACCTCCTGTTGTGGTAATTTAGAATGTTTTTGTGGCTCATTTTTAATAAAATGGGCTTGATTTCCTACAACACCTTCGAAGCCTTACTCTGGTCTAACAGGCAGACTTTTGATCCCAGCAGGCGAGATGTGAGGGGCTGTCCTTTTCTAGGAAGGAATCCTTGGAAAAACTTCACAGAAGCCTTTCTCCTGTGAGTGGGTCTAGGGAAGAGTTGGGGGTAACTACATTTTCTCTGCCTCTTTCCCTTCAAGAGTGGTGAGCTGAACATGCTTTTGGTCTGAGCAGGACTGTCAAGACACCCACCTCCTCCCCTGCCCACAGGACTCACAGTCCACCTCCCTTTCTATTTGGATTTAGTTGGAGAATGGTTCAGGGATTTCAGATCAAGTCCAAAAGCATGATGGCATCTGCTGATGTAAGAGCTCTTTATTTCCGTAAGAGTCCATCATTTCAAGATCAACAGTGGTAACTGCACCTCTGACCTGTACTCAGAAAATGATACTCAAACATATTTCAACACTTAAAGTTGATTCCTAGATGATTATTGTTAGTCTTTTCACGGGGATGGTAGAGAGAGCCCTTGAAATCTTTCTCAGTAATGACCTTTAAGGAAGCTGAAGATTTATGTGTCATTCCTGGAATAAGTAAGGGAAAAAAAATTGGTCTTGAAATTCAGGTTCTGAATTTAGATCAGAGTTGCTGATCTCCTGGGTTTCTTTCTTTTCTTTTTTTTTTTTTTGAGTTGGAGTCTCACTCTTTCACCCAGACTGGAGTGCAGTGGCCGCTCCCGGCCACCGCAGCCTCGACCTACTGGGCTCCGGCAATCCTTCTGCCTCAGCCTTCCAAGTAGCTGGAACTACAGGTACGCGCTAGCATGCCCGGCTAATTTTTGACTTATTGTAGAGATGAGGTCTATGCCAAGTTGCCCAGGCGTGTCTCGAACCTGCGGGCTCAGGCAATCCACTCACCTCAGCCTCCCAAAGGGGCGGGATTACAGGTTGAGCCACTGAGCCTGGCTATCTCCTGGGTTTCTAGAGAGAAGGGAAGCAGTCACTTTCTCCTCACTTCTGTCTGAAATCCCCATGACATCACAGCAACAGATAACTCTTCCCGGGATCCTTCTGGAGAACCTGCATTCTCCCTCCTGTCTTCAGTGATTTTGTTGACATCTTGACCTAAAAGTGTCCGAATATTGATTGGTGTTCATGTCAACGAAGAGGCAATCACACATGTTTTCTGTGTGTGCAAAGCATTTATAGGACAGGATTTATTTCTTTATTTTCTTGGGAGCAGTGGTCCCAGCCAAACGAAGAACCTTGACCAGGGTAACTAGTTCAAAATATCTTGCCCAGTCTCTCTACCTCTCAATTTTCTGAATTGGTATTTAGGATGGTGGTGGGAGAGACCATGACTTTGGGAGTTGGCACAATATCCTTATTCATCTGTAATAAATTACTGGGTACTCATAGGTTGTAAGTGTTGGTTAAATTTGTAGAATTAGGTTTTTTGTGCAACTGGGTTCAATAGTTAAAAATCTCCCTGAACTTTTTTAATTTTTTAATTTTTTTTTTTTTTTTTTTTTTAGTTTTGTAGAATAAGGTTTTGTTTGTTTCAGTTTGAATTTTTTCTGGCTTCATTTGGTAGGGTGAATGCCAAAATAAAAGACCGTGGGCGTTTTCAGGAGATCTGGTCATCTATTTTGCATCCTCTCTGAAATATGTTACTTCCTGCATAATGAAGTGAAGGGATTTGCTGCTGGGCAGTGCTTTCCTTATTCCCACAAAGAAATTACTTAAAAGCCAGCCCTGGGAACTTTGTCTACAAATCTCTCAGGAAAAAAAAAAGAGTAGCCCAGGACTGCAGCTTCTGCACGTACACTGGTTATAGCTGATAAGCACTGGGTTCTCTCTCGCTTATTTTTCCCACAGAGGAGAAAAAGAAATAGTTTGAACCATGACATTCTTGCTCAAAACAACAGCAAAGACATATCATACAGCAACAATGAAGGGAAGAGAGAAATTAAGAGGCTATTGAGAGGCTTGTTTTTCTCGGTACAAGGCAGGTGCAGGGAGAATTCTGCAGGTTTTGGACTCGTCATTCATTCACTTTCATTAATTGTGCTGGAGGTAGTTAGCAAAAGTGAACAGGCACACTGTAGCTTTAAAAAGTCAGCCATGAACCAGAAGGCAGTTGGTGCAGCTTGTGTGTGATTCCTAACGTCATGTTGGCTGAGAGCCAGCCTGGTTTTATTTCACTGTGTCAAATTGTACCTCCTTATTGAATTCCTTTGCCAGCCTACTTTGTGAAAGAAAACATTGGGGTTTCTTTGGCTGTTCTTGATAAGCCTATAAAAATGATATGTTTTAGTTGCTTCTAGGTAGGTTTTCTTTTTACTCTTGCACCAAAAAAAGAGAGAAAATAATAGTAATAATAATAGGACAATGTAGTGTGACGTTGTAAGAGTATCATTGTGAGTGTTTTGTTTTGTTTTGTTTTCTGAGATGCTTAGAAAATGGTGAATGTGTAACAGTTTCCAACTGAGTGAAATCATTCTTTGAGCTTGGAGCTGCAGCACTGTGTCCTGTCTACTCAACGGTGTGTGAATGGATGCTGATGTCTCGATGTATATTAAATGTTGGGTTTCTCTATCAATGATCTAAGTGCTTTAGCAAGTGGAAGTTTGTGTGTGTGTGTGTGTGTGTTTTTCAGGAGTGAAGATTATCCCACACTTACAGGGTTATTTGTTAATCATCTACTTCTCTAACAGTGATAAAAAAATCTTGTGAATATACTAAATGATGCACTTGCCATGTCAAGAGTAATCCCTGGAGAAGGAGTGCCGAAGTAGAAAGTGATTTGAGAGGAAATGTATTTAATGTATGGCTGCAGCTGAATGAGAGCAAACACGTTTCGGGACTGTTTTTTTGTTTTGTTTTGTTTTGTTTCTTAAAGCAGTTTTGTTCATAGCTTTTTCATTTTGCTAATGGCATATTAATTGTGGAGTTTTTATTTTTTCACAGTCCTCATCCTATTAAACAAAAAGAGTGATGGATGCTACCCTATCTCCTTAAGTGTTTTGATGATTTTTCATAAATTTAATGAGCTGTCTACTCTTTCTTACACATATACACAATGTGCGCGCGTACACACACACGCACACACATACACACACACACACACACACACACACACACACATACACACACTAGCACCACCTTTCTGTGCTTAGGGCTATCTGGCATTTTTGTGAGCTTCCTGCTTTACCCCAGCATGGCCATCTCACAGACCGGTTTTTGAGGCTTTCGTTGAGAATATGAGAGGTAGGGGAATACTTGGTGACAAAAGCTTTAAGTGCCCTTCTGCATAGCAATGAAAAAAATCTAGGAGCAGGGGGAGAAGACCAAAAAAAAAACCCCCCCAAATATAATAAGAAAATAAAGAAAATCACAGCCCATAGCGGGAGGGGGCAGGAAGAGGGGGGGGATTGTTTTTCTCTACTTTGACTCATTTGTGAGTTGCAGTGTCTTAAGTGAGAGCAAGGTACCCAGAGAAGGCTGTGCCAGTTCACACAGCACTTGTTTTGAACAAGGATTCAATTTCATTTGCAAATGCTTATTGTCAAGGCAGGGAGTGCCAGTACAGATGAAAGCACCCCAATCCGTCTCCTCCAGTTCTTGAGGTTTAATCACATCTCTCCAATCGCCGAGGGAACTGGAGGTTTAAACAAACATACGTGAACTGGTGTGAAGCTGTTAAAAGGGACCATTATGTTTCCGATTCAGAATATATATTCTTCTCTCACTTTCTAAGAATTAAACCCAAGCTTTTCTCCCTTATTGATTAGTTGCTGAAGTAAAGGAACCCTGCAGCCTTCCCATGCTATCTGTTGAGATGGAAAACAAGGAAAATGGCTCTGTCGGTGTAAAAAAGTAAGTGAAGCTGGCTTCTGAGTTCTGCTTCTGCAAACAACAGAGGGACTTGGTTTCTATTTTGATACTTCTTGCTTATCTCCTACAAATACACAGTTTGGGGGTTGCCTTGGTTTGTCTCCACTGGCCACCAGCCTCCCTCCTACCCCCAGCCCCACTTACCTTTTTCTGTGTTCCATTTCTAAGACAGAAATGACTCAGACATCAAAATGTGCATGAAAGGTTTGTGTATCAGGCTTTGGAACAAGGATGGTGGAGGATTTCAACCCTGCATTCTGTCTATTGAAACAAAAACTTCAAGCAGAGACTCTGCCTTCCAAGTTCATGGGCAAAAGGAAGGGGGCAGAAAATAGAGTTGGAGGCTTTTTTTTTTTTTTTTAAACAATCACTTGAGCTCAAAACTGAGAGCTGTAGTGCAGGAAAGGGAAAAGCTTCCAGCAGAATACTAAGTTTAACAACTTCTCCGTCCTAATTTTATAAACTGTTCATTGAATGTGAAACATTTCAGTGTATACCATGATGTTCTATTTTAATGTCTGTTCTCACATTTGAAACTTCTGATTGTATGTGTTATGTAAGAGTTATACGCTTGATTCTTCTAAATAGGAAAATTTAGTTACATTATGTAGCAAACATTCTGAAACAAAACAAAAAGATATCCATGAGTATTTTTTAATGTATATTCTCATTTAGGAGTTGTATTGAAGCAATAACTTCTTTGATTACAAGGACAGAGGAAATTCCAAGAGGATGTTATCTTTTGTTTCTTCCTTGTCATTTAGTTCAAAATTGCCATCAGCTTGAGCTTTGGCAGAAACTAATTAAATGTAATCCATAGAAGCTGTGATATCTAAATGAGGAAACGTTTGTGCTATATGTGGATGGATATAAGGTATCACAGCCAAGTAGCATTAAAATTAACTTAATAAAAATCTATATTTTACAAAAGTAGTGGGTAATTTACGTATCAGTGTCATACTGACATGTTTGTTACCATTCTTAAAGTTTGGGGTAGGTAGATGAAGGAGAAATGAAAGAAACAGATGCTGTTTTATGTCTGATTAGATTCGTGGTGTCCAACAGTACTTTCATCAGTGATGGAAAATATTCTGTATTTGCGCTGTCTAAAATGATAGCCACATGTGGCTGTTAAGAACTTGAAATGTGACTAGTGTAACAGACAGTTGAACTTTTAATTTTACTTAATTGTAATTTATTTGAAAATCAACAGCTTTATTCAAATATATGACATAATAAATTGCGTGTGTTTAAAATACAAAATTTGGTCAGTTTTGGCATTCGTATATACCCGTGAAACCACTGCCACAATTAAGATAGTGAACCTATCCATCACTTTCAAAGTATCACCACAACTTCTTATAATCTCCCCCTCCTGTCCTTTCCTGCCCGCATATGCTCACAACCACTGATATGCTCTCTGTCACTGTAAATTAGTTTGCTTTCTCTAAGATGTTTTATAAATGGATATATATGTGTATCTATCTATACATGTCTGGTTTCTTTCATTCGATATAATTAACGTGAGATTTATCCGTGTTATTGTGTGTGTCAATAACTTACTGCTTTTTATTACTGAGTAATATTTTATTCTGTGGGCACGTTAACAGCTTGTTTACGACCATCCACATGATGACAGACATTTGGGTTGTTTTCGTTTCTTAGGAATAACAATAAAACCTCCTTGATCATTTGTGTACAGCTCTCTGTGTGGACAAATGCTTTCATTTCTCTTTCATAAATGCTTAGGAATGGAATTGGCTGAACTATGTGGTAGGTGTCTTTTTCACTTTAAAAAAAAACAACAAAATCGCCTGTTTTCCAAACTGGTTGTCCCATGTACATTCCTAACAACAGTGTGTGAGCGTTCCAGTTGCTCACATTCTTGTTAACTTGGCATGATCAGGCTTTTTCATATTAGACACTGTATCATGTGTGGTTGTAATTTTCATTCCCCTAATGACTAATAAAGTTGAGCATCTTGTCTTGTGATGATCTGCCATTTATGTATCCTCTTAGGTCACATATTACTCCCATCTTTTGCCCATATTTTTATTGGGTATGGTTTTTCGTATGTATTGTATAGAATTTTTATTTTATGATTATAAGTCCTTTCTCATACATATGATTTGAAAATATTTTCTTCCAGTGTGTGGTTTGTCATTTCATTCTCTCGATGGTGTCTTTCAAAGTGCAGAAATCTTATAATTTTTACAAAGTCCCAGTTATTATTATTTTTAATTTTATGGATAGTGATTTTGGTGTCATATTTAAGAAATTTTCTTCTAGCACAAGGTCACAATTATTTTTTTTAATGTTTTCTTCTAGAAGTTCTGTAGCTTTAGGTTTCAGTACTTAGCACTATGATTTTTTGAGTTAATTTTTATTTGTGGTATGAGATAAGGGTTGAAATGTTGAAGTGTTTTGTTGGTGGTAGTGATAGTGGTTTTTTGCTTATGGATATCCAATTTTTCCAGTATTGTTGTTCAAATGCTTCTGCAACTTTGTTGAAAAATAATAGAGCATATAAATGTAGGTCTATTTCTGGACTCTATTTCATTGATCTTTTGCACATAGTTATGCTAGCATAATACTGCTTTGATAACTATAACTTGAAACCAGGTAGTGTTAGCCATCCAACTTTGATCTTCTTTTGCAAAGTTATTTTAGCTCTTTACATTTTGATATGAATTTTAGAATCAGCTTGTGAATTTCCACCAGAAAAAAAAAACCTGCTTGCATTTTAATTGACATTGCATTGAATTATCAATCAATTTGGAGAGAGTTAACGTTTTAACAATTTATGTCTTCCAACAAAGGAACACAGCATTTTTCTCCATTTGCTTATGTTGTCTTTCATTTTTTTCAGCAATATTGTATAGTTCTCAGTGTGTGTGCAGTTCTTGCATATTTTTGTTAGATGCATCCTAATATTTCATGGTTTTAATTATATATGTATATATATATTTTAGAGACAGGATCTAACTGGGACTGCAGGCACATTCCTCAACATCTGACTAATTTTTTAATTTTTTTGTAGAGATGAGGTCTCTCGCTAAGTTTCCCTGTCTGGTCTCAAACTCCTGGGTTCAAGCTGTCCTCCTGCCTTGGCCTCCTGAAGTGCTGGGATTAGAGGCGTGAGCCATCATGCTTGGCTATTATTGCTTTGCATTCAAGTTCACTAATCTCCGAAAATGTCGAGTCTTTTGTTAGTCCCACCCAGTGCATTTTTTGTTTCAGACAATGTAGTTTTCCCCTCTAGAAGTTCATCTTTTTTTTTAACTATCTTCCAAGTCTCTACTTGCCATATTCGGTCTTTTCTCTAGCTTCTTGAACATATAAAATGTGGCCATAATAATTGTCTTAATATCCTTGTTTACTAATTATTTCCCCGTCAGTTTGAATTGACTAAGTTTTCTTCTTATTATGAGTCATATTTTTCTGCTTTTTTGCATACCTGGTAATTTATGATTGAATGCTAGACATTGTGAATTTTACCTTTCTGAGGGCTGAATATTTTTGGAATTGTATACACATGCTTGATCTTTGTCCTAGAATGCTGTTAAGTTACTTGGAAACAGTTTGATACTTTTAAGTCTTGCTTTTTTAAGTTTTGTTAGGCGGGGCCACAGCTGCATTTAGTCTAAGGGTATTTTTTCCCCTTTTACTGAAGTAAGACCCTTCTTTGTACTCTAACCAATGCTTCTGAATTACAAGATTTCCTTTCTGGCAGGTGGGAAAAGGTACCACTTATATCCGCATGTGATCTCCAAGGGTTGTTGCTAAGCCTCCAAGGTGTGTTTTCCTACTTCACGTGGTTTTCTCACATGCAGGTACTGATCAGGAACTCGAGGGGAACCCTCTGCAGACCTCTCGGGTTCTCTGTCTTCTTCAAGGCTGCCCTATGCACAGTCTAAAAACTTCCTTCAGACAGTAAGTGGAAGGCCTTACCTTGCTTGTTTCCCACCACTCAGGGACCACTGTCCACTACCAATAACCAATTTCTTGTGTGCCTTTGTTTCTCCTATTTTGTCTGTTTTTCATTGTTTTAGTCAGCAGGGTATATATGGTCCCCGTTACTCTGTCTTGACTGGAAGTAGAAGTTCCAACTAATTTATATAGCCACAAGTGGCTAGTGGCTAACGTATTGGACAGGACAGAGTTAAATTATAATGCAGAATCCCTAAAGGCATAAAACATGGGGATGGGGTCTCAAAGCTGTACTGTGGAGTAGCTGGCCTGTACATTTAGGATGTTTAGCAATATACCTAGCCTGTACCAACTGGATGCCGGTGGTAACCCTCTTCGGTCTTGACAATCAAAAATGACTCCAGACATTGCTAACTTTTCCCTGAGGGGAAAACTCATACCCAGTTGAGGATTGTTGCTCTAGGGTAACCTCCCCACAAGGAGTGTGTGGCATGGTGGCTTTTAGATATCAGAAACTAGCTTACATATTTGTACTGGTCATTTCTGCTTAAAACCCTAAACAGAACAGGAATTTTTAAATATTACCATCTTGGGCTTCCTCTGCTTTCCTTCTTTGTCTCTTGCTTTATGTATCATACAAGAGAGGAGAGGAGGAGAGAGCAAGAAAAAAAAGCACATGTGGTAAAATATTAACATTTGGAGGAATCTTGGCAAAGGGCATATGGGACTTTTGTTCTATTCTTGCAGCTTTTCTATAAGTCTGAAACTTTAAAAAAACAGACCAACTTTTTTAAAAAAACCAGTTTATTAACTGGCAACGAAAATGTTCTTTTAGGAAAGTAACAATACTCTAAGCCCAGATGTGAAGACCGGGAGAGAATTAACCATGTCATTAAAATGGAAAGAGGTTTCACCTTTGTGAAAGTCTTAGGTGCAGAAGACTTGGGTTTGATCTTTTGTTTCTCAACTAGCAGAAGAACATTTAATTTCCCTCTGTCTTGGTTCTCTTGAATGTAAAACTGAAATGAAGAGCTGTTGTGAGGATCAGAGAC